AAGTCAAAGTTTAACTTTTTGTGCATCAATTGACTTTTCATCAGTTGATCAAATTTCAACTAACAATTCAATAGTATTGAGGAATGTTTTGAGTCATGCAATTAAGTCAACATGTTATGTTTGAATCCTTGAGATCTTGCTTCAAGCCATTAAGTCATGTACTAGGTCAAAAATCACTGATCAGACATTCTCAGTCAAAATCCTAATTTTGACCATTTTGTCCCTTTTGATGATTTGACTGTTTTTCTTAAGGAATTGTGATGAGACCCTTATCAATTGATGAATATGACTTAAAAATATTTATGTGGATCAAAAATCTTGAATTTTGACTGTAGTTTGACCATAATTGACTTTTACCCAATACAACTGATTTTTAGTCATCTGAGCAATTGACTGAGCAATTTTGATATTCAAGACTTGAAAATTGACATGAGTATTCTTGGAGGTCTATAATGATCCATGAAGGTCATTTGAGGCATTAGAATTCCAATTATCCTTGTGAAAATCAAAACCGTAATTTGAGGCATCAGTGTTTAGGAGATGGTTTGACCTTGTCAATACTTGTGCAAACTTGAGCTTGTGGAGATCTTGTGAGAAATGTCTTGAGCAAAGAGAGAGGAAATTTTGGGGTACAATAACTATCGACTTGTGAAGCTAAATACTTTATCCGTTTGAGGGATAAAATTGGTTGTATAGATTTTAGTTAGATAAATATGAATTAATGGATGATGTTAGAAGTAATTCATATTCAGAAGTATTTGTGTTAGTCAGAAGCAAAAGCTTCTGAGGTTGCATCCCAAAAGTAAGTTTAGCTTATGGGGTCCTGGTTTGTTTTGCTAACTTAGCTATTAAATTTACTTTTGTTAGTGCCTATGCAACAGTTTACTTTGTGTATATAAGCAACTTTGTAACTAGATTTTTAGTAAGAATTTTAATATGGAATTTCTTCCTCAACAAGTTTGTTGTAGTCGACTATCTCTCACTTCTTCCATCTTTATTTTTCATCTTTAATCTTGTGCACCAATAAAATTGTGCATTTAAGACGTATTAATGGTCGTAAGTGGTCAGTCTCAAATGTAGAAGCAAGTGACTCAATTTTCATTAACAATCATCTGGTAGTTTATATTTCAATCTCTCCCCCAAAACATCTCATCTTATAGGTACCGTATAGATTCAAGTATTTTCTTTAAAACATATCCCCTCTACATGACTTGTGTTTGAATAATTGTGTATATTCTTATTTATTCTCTAAAATATATCCTCCTACATGCTTCTGAAGGACAATATTTCATCTAAAAGAATTTGAACCAAAATTGAACTTGAACATGAAAAAACTTGTCTCGCGTTGTTCCATTTATAAAAAAGATTAGGTTAAATCACTCTTAAAGATTCGGGTCGAGAAAGTCAACTCAATACCAAATACAACTCATTCTTGATAGTTATCCATTATATATATAGACATAACACTTTAAAAACATTTGACTTAACTCCCTATATATATATATATATATATATATATATATATATATATATATATATATATATATATATATATATATATATATATATATATATATATATATATATATATATATATATATATATATATATATATATATCAGAAAAAATAAAGAGCACACTCTCTAAAATCCAACAATTACCAATCATAAAAGATAAACATTTCTCATATAACAAACACTGAGAAATATATTGTGACTCATCCTACATAATCCCAATGAAATTATGAAATAATGTATTTAGAGGTGTCAAAATGGACTACCCGCACCTAAACAGGCGGCCCATGCGGGCTTCGGGCTTTTTAGGATCGGGTCTAAAAAACTTATATTTAAATGGGTTGCGGGCTACCCGACCCTAAACACACACATTTCTAAAAAAAATTAAAATTTTTTCCTTACTTTTTAAAATAACCATGCAGTTGCATGCAATATATATATATATATATATATATATATATATATATATATATATATATATATATATATATATATATATATATATATATATATATATATATATATATATATATATATATATATATATATATATATATATATATATATATATATATATATATATATATATTAAATTTCATATCCAAAATTAGGATTTCTAAATAATCCATATAAATTAATGATTAAAATGTAAAATAACACATTAATTTAATTTAAACTTGTTGGATTAAAATATCCAGCGTCAACCTTGTAGGATCAAGCGCTTACCACTGTGCTAAAAGCAATTGCTTGTAGTCAAGGTGCAACTTTATTTTCATACAGTACGAGCATTTTCTGGGGCTGCACCTAGTTTACTAAGCGTCCATAGATGAGATGTTAAGCCCTTCGAATCTCTAAAGTTGATGATGGATATTTTAATCCAACAATACTATCCAAAATACATCAGAAATTATGTAATGTAACACAAAAAATTAAATAACTTGTTCCAACAAGTTTTAAGTTATAAATATTCATGACAATTATAATTTTATAATAATTATAGTAAAAAATTATTATAAAATTTTATAACAATTATAATTTTATAACAATTATAATTAGATTAATAGAATATAATTTTATAATAAATTGTTATAGATCTGATTTGTACTTACTCTATCCTCCCATAAAAATTACATCAAAGCTTTTTAAACCTCATTTCAACCTTATTTTTAAATAGAATATGTTATTGTATCTTTTCTATGCTATCCACGTAATTATATTAGGATGAAACCTTTTAGTTTGAAATTAAGTCAAACCAACAACTTTTGTTTGATATTTATATCTTTATAATATCAAAAATAAATAAATTAAAATACATAATACGCAAATTATTTATAACATATATAAAATTTTATCACTTTAGACACCGAAATTATTCATTTATACCCATTGACCATTTATATTATATGAGTTCAAAAAATAAGGTATAATTTATTTATGCAAATTATTTATACGTTTCTACACTAATACTTTTTTATGAATTAGAAAAAGATAATTTCTAATTATATTTAAATTTTTTTTTTCCAAATTGATGAACTGCTCATGACCCATACGAACTGACACATATTTTTTAAAATTTTTCAAACCAAACTAAAAAAAGTCCAAATATAAATGAACTCGAAAATAAGATACAAATCCTAATTTTTTCAAACGTAATAGATCAATCTATCAATTTCGATCTATTTTAACAACTCTAAGAACACCTAGCGTATACACTACCAACAAAATCAAACAAAGATAAAATTCTTACAACTAAAATTTGTATGTAACTCTACATTAGACCCAATCTTTATTGCTTGGTAAATACATCCAAATTTCAATCAGTTCTTCATTTACTAAAAATAAGTAAAACGTGTCAAAAATTGGTGCATAATATATATTTTCTTAAGAACAAAAAGGTCCACTTTAAATCATAATTGAAAGTTTGAGATTGTTCTTTGATGCTCAAATTATAATGCAAATAAAAAGCATAAAGTATAAACATAAATCACAAAAGCTATTACCATATGACATGCATACTTTAGAAAAATAAATATCATCAAAAAATTTAAAACTTACACAAGTACAAAAGTGACACTCAATTCATTCTCTAGTACTTCAATTCTCACTAGTATTTTTTTATTACTATTCCTTCGACAATCTTCTATTCTAACTATAAAAGGTGACGTCAAAGAGTGTTAATTGATTGAAGTGAATATGTACAATTGATTTTTTTATTCAATTTATTTATGAATTTGGAATAAGGGCATTATGGTAGTTGTATTAGTTGAGTTTTTAGGAACCTTTGGCATGTGCCATTACAGAAGGGCAGGCTTTAATTTGTGGCCTGTGGGTGACTGGCTCCCAATCTTCCCGCTTTCTCTTTTTTCAATTACAACTATAACTTTCATCAATAAAAAATATCTCTTTTTTTGGTCTTCTTTTTCTTCTATTATATATGCTTCTACTATTAAAATGAAACGTGTGATTGTTTTGTAATTAAAAATAAATTAAAATAATTTTGTCTTTTGTATGTATTTCATTATCTATATTGCAATATCCTGATAAACATATTTGCCTAATAAACATAATGGTTTTAGGACCTACAGACAACCATAGTGTGTTTAATTAATTTAAAATAATAGATTCATTTTTTTCTTCCATGAGAATAACAAAGAACACTACATTGTTTTAATTAACTAAAAAAATTAAAATAATAAGAATATAATTAATTTTTGTCTTAGTTAAAAATAAATTTTTTTAAGAATAAATAAATAAGAAATGAATATACTCATCTTTATTACATGATTGAAAATAACTCATTTAATTTATATTTGTGTTAATTTCAAATATAGAAATAAAATTTTTAAGACTACATAAATAAAAAATGAATCTATCCATATTTGTTATAAAATTTAAAATAGTTATTTTTAAATATAAAAAGTTTAAGAAAAAAAATAATTTCTTATCTATGTAAAAATATAGAAATGTAAATTTCAAAAAAGAAATTGTAATTTTTAAAATAATTTATTAAAATTATAAATTTTCTTTAAAATATAAATATGTTTGCTAAATAATTTTTTTAAAATAATTTCTTTGAATAATTTTCGAAGTAAGAAATTTCTAAAAATAAATTTTAAGGTTTTACTGTCCCTTAAATTATAATAAATAAAAAGTGCATCGAAACAATAATATTAAAAAAATAATAAATAATGAAATTTGAACATGCATGCCATCATTTGAGTTGTAGTACAATCTTATTCCTTGAACAAATATAATTTAAACAAACTTGACACAAAATAAGGAAAATATTTTTATTAAACAATGGTATATTTGTAATAAAAAAATAAACTAGTGGCAATTTTCCTCATCTCCCATTACTTAAACCTATGACCCCTTAACTCAAACCTCAAAAAAAAAAAAACATAAACATCAAACAAATTCATTTCCATTCTCTCAATCTTTCTCTTTGTTTCTTCTAATTTTTTAAGGTTCTTTGTTTCAAAAACAATGAGCACAACAAACACAAAACACATTTACAAACTCTCAGTGAAAAAAGCCACAAGAAGAACAAGAAGAAAACAAATGGAAGAAAAATGCAAGTCTAAGAAGAAGCTCTCACAGAAGCTAAAAGCACTTAAAAATTTAATCCCTTCTCACCATAGAGATGAAGTCAAAACTGATGAATTGTTCAAAGAAACTGCTGATTATATTGTTTTTCTTAGGACAAGGGTTTTCATTCTTCAGAAGCTTGTGGAGATTTATGGAAACAACAACAATGAGAATCAAATTGATGTATTGTTATAGCTACCTTCACTCTTCTTCATGCTTCTTCTTTTTTATTTATTTATTTATTTTAATGTTCTATTTAATTATCTTTTTGTTCATGAAAAAATGAGACAAGATCTTTGTTCTAATATTTTTGTTTATTCTTTTATTTTGCTTTTATGATTATCATTAGATTTCTTTAATGTCTTTTCAAAATTTTGAGAATATAGTTGTGTTAAATTTTTGAATAGGAAATTTAACAATCTATTCTACTTTTTTTAGTTTGAAAATTTAATTGTACCATTGCTTATGGAAATATTCAAAGACACTAATTAATGTATATTTAATGTCTAAGTATTTTATTACTCCCTTTAGTAGATTGGAAATATGTAAAGAAAAATCAAATGCATGTAATTTTAGTTGATTAATTTTTACTCATAGGCCATTTAATTTAATTTCAGGGTTAATTTAATTGATTCCAACCTTTCCGGTCTATCTATGATTTTGTTAATAATAAAAAATTACTCTAATTATGATTTGAGTGTTTTTTAATTAATGTTTCTCAAATTTGTTATTTTTGTAGAAATGTTAAAATGGGTCGAAATTTATGGGGCTAAAAAAGTTAAAATATAAATCTTATTTTTCGAGCTCATTTATTTTTGGGTATTTTTTAGTCTATTAATTAAAAAAAAAATTTATTTAATATAATTAAAAATTATCATTTTCTAATTCATAAAAAAATATTAATGAAGAAATGTATAAATAATTTACATAAATAATTTATATATTATTTTTTGAGCTTAGGTAGTATAATGGTTAATTGGTGTAAATAGACAATTTCAATATCTAAAGTGATGAAATTTTAGATATATTATAAATAATTTGCGTATTATGTATCTTTTATTTATTATTAAGGTATAAATATCAAACAAAAGTTATTCGTTTGATTTAATTTCAAACTAAAAAATTTCATCTTAATATAATTATATGGATAGTATAGAAAAGATACAACGACATATTCTAATTAAAAATAAGATTGAAATGAGGTTTAAAAGCTCTAATGTAATTTTTATGGAAGAATACAATAAGTACTAATCAAATATATAACAATTTGTTATAAAATTATATCATATCAATCTAATTATAATTGTTATAAAATTTTATAACAGTTTATTGCTATAATTGTTATAAAATTATAATTATCATGAATATTTATAATTTAAAACTTTTTAGAATAAGTTATTTAATTTTGTGTGCTACGTTAGATAATTTGTGATTTATTTTGGATAGTTTGAATTAATTTAATATGTTGTTTTACATTTTAATTATTAATTTATATGAACTATTTAGAAATTCTAATTTTGAATATGAAATTTAATATATATACAAGTATTATAGCATGCGGTTGCACGGTTACTTAAAAAATATAGAGACTTTTTATTTTTATTTTTAAAATGAGTCTGTTTAGAGTCAAAACCTGTTTAAAATCGAATAATCCGTAGTTCAGACAAAACCGAACTTGAGTAGTAAAAATAAAATCTATTTAAATATGAGTTTTTTAGACCCGATCTTAAAAATTCAAAAATTCACATGAACCAACCTATTTAAAACTGAATAATGCATTTTGACACCTCAACCTTTAAAGACTAAATTTTGTTTGTGGGATTTAGAAGGTGAAATTTTTGAATTTGAGGTAATAGTGTTCATAGAACTTTTAAATTTTAATTCCACTTTAGAATTTATTTAAAAATTATCCTTCAAACTCACTTTTACATGAAGATAAAATATCTTAAATTATTTTACTTTCATTTTAATATTTTGTTGTCTATTAATTTAATGATAGATATTTTATTTTATGATTAAACGAGAGGTCATGGTCTAAACTCGTACATTTACAATCAAATATTTCTATAGAACAACTAAGTGAGCTTAAGCTTACTTATCGAGTGACTTTAATTTCATTTTTAATTCGACTCAATACAATTTTACTTTCTTAAAATATTATTATTTTGAACCCGCACTCTTGTAATTAAATATTCATATAATGCTGCAAAGTAAATCAAGACATTTTCAACTCACTTTTATATTTTAACTCACTTTTAATTAAAATCAATATAATTTTATTATATAAAAATGAATGAATAAATGAAGTGTCGTAGTTCTATCCATGCACTTAAAAATAGATTTTTCTTGCAAAACTATCAAATAAACTAGTTTATCAAAACACTTTCGATTTACTTATAATCTAAATTAATTTTATAAAACACAATTAATTTAAAATCAAATTTCGTCTCCAAAAATACCAACAAACTGAAAATAGACAATGTAGTGTAATAGTATAGCAAAGAATATGGGAAGAGGCATGCTCTCTCATACTGATATTTCAGATAATATCTGAGTGAAATAGACAGCAAGGCCCTAATTCTTCATGCTGTATAGTTGTCATGATCTTGACATGTTCACTCAATGAACCCATGTGCAAAACCCTATTTTTAAGCCTTTTTTCTCTCTATATTCATATATAACCATGTGTCTATGTATCTATATAATTTTCTACCTCAACCTTTAAAGCGTTTCAAACATCATGTGAGTTATCTATTTTCACTATGTACCTTTGTCTCATCACTATTTTTGTTCTTACTTACTGACATGCTGTTTTCTTGTTCTCTTCTTTTTACTTCTATCCATTTTTATTTTACTATGTAACTTTAGTAAAATCCACATTTTTTTTTAATAAAACAGGGACAACCCATATAATTTGAAAGGGACTTTGCTTCTTTATAGAAATTAATATGTATATATTGTTTGGATAATATTTTAATAATTAAATAAGATTAAAATGTTACTTTTAGAATGAAAACTCTTATACTTTTTAATTTAGTTGAATACTGGTACTTTTAACCAATTAAATAGAATAATTCAATGTCATTTTTTTTATAAATAAATTAAAATTTAGAAGTAATTTATACTAAAGATACTAATACCTAACTACTTTGCATAAATATTTAAAAATTTGTCTAAATTTAATTGGTTGATAGTTGTGGATACCAAAAAGCCACCAAGATTAAAAGACTTTCAAGGATTCGTAATAAACATATCATGTACATTATTTTGAGAAAAATTTACATAAATTCTTATTTCTTATTGTTACAAACAATTAATAAGAATAGAAAAATATTTTATTTATTTAAAATTTAATTTCTTTTTAAATTCGTATTATGGAGTAGTTATGATTATAAATGAGTGAGAATATTATATTTTTATATTTTAATATTTTAATTACACTACAAGATAAAGCTTATCTAGTCACGTGATTTTGCCACGTGATTTTCATGTGGTTAAATAAAGTCAGTTGCGACGTGAAAATCACATGGCAACATGTTTTACTAATATAATAAAGAAGCATTAAGTGTGTCAGTTTTTTTATTTATTTTTAAAGTTACGACGTGGGCTGCACGTCGCTAATTAAAATATCATAAAAAATAAATTAATCACAACTTTCAACACTGACGTGTTCAGGTTTTGAAGAAAGAGAAAAGAGTTGTTGGATTGTTGCGACGTGAAAATCACGTGGCAACGTTGCGGCGTGATTTTCACGTCGCTATGTGCTTTATATGCTTTATCAAAACGCTCCACAAACACAGTAGCGTTAGTTTGTTTAAAGTTCTTCTTCAACCTCCTCCTTCCATATTCCTCCATACCCATTTTCTTCTCCAAAATTTATTCTTCTCCACACTTAAATTCCTACAATCTCCATACATTGTTGTTGTAAGGTAATTTCAATTCAATATTTATACTTTGTTAACAGTTTTTGATGTGTTATTTGAATATAATTTTTTTTCAATTTCTCTTTGAATAGAAGAAGAATATTGATAGAAGTATAGATTACAAAAAGGGACAAGAAGATTGAAGGAGTTACAAGATAAAAGATATTTCTTGAATTTTTTTTTTGAATTTAGTATATTTTCTGAATTTGATTAATTTTTAGGTTGAATTTGCATTGGGTTAAAATTGTTGAATTTGGGTTATATATATTTTCTGTATTTGGGTTAAATTTTAGGTTTAATTATTTAGTTTATAATAATTATTAATTATTAATTTGTGATGAATGAGTTTAATTATTTTAGGAGTTTAAATTTTTAAATTTTTAAATTTTTAGGAGTTTATAAAATTTAGATGTTTAAATTAAATTTTAAGTGTTTAAAAATAAATAAATATTTTTAGGAGTTTATAAATTTTAAGTGTTTAAATTAAATTTTTAGGAGTTTAAGTTTTTAAATGTTTAGGAGTTTATAAAATTTAGGTGTTTAAATTAAATTTTAAGTGTTTAAAAATAAATAAATATTTTTAGGAGTTTATAAATTTTAAGTGTTTAAATTAAATTTTTAGGAGTTTAATAAGTTTTTAAATTTTTAGGAGTTTATAAAATTTAGGTGTATAAATTAAATTTTAAGTGTTTAAAAATAAATAAATATTTTTAGGAGTTTATAAATTTTAAGTGTTCAAATTAAATTTTTAGGAGTTTAAGTTTTTAAATTTTTAGGAGTTTATAAAATTTAGGTGTTTAAATTAAATTTTAAGTGTTTAAAAATAAATAAATATTTTTAGGAGTTTATAAATATTTTTGAAAGCATATATTTATCTTTAATTGTATATGTTTAGGATTATTATTAAGTTGATTAATTAATATTTCTAATTAAATAGGTTTTGATTATATAAATTTGCAGTAAATGGAATTTTATAGGTATTATCGTAGTTGGATGTACGATAGACTATATCCAGGAAGACGTGCACTTAAACCCAATTTTATAGACGGAGTTAATGGTTTTATCGCGTGGACGTTTGCCCAGGAACGTTGTCGAAGTGAAGGAGGAGTTAGGTGTCCTTGTCTTAAATGTGGATGTAGATATATAATTAGTGACCCAGAGGAAATAACACGTCATTTGCATAGGAAAGGTTTCATTGAAAATTATTGGGTTTGGACGTATCATGGTGAAACACTGCTGAGTAATGTACCAGAGACTAGCAACACAAATGCT